GGAGGAGCGCCTTGCAGGGCCGCCACTCTAGGCCAAGCCCTTGAAGCACAATGTTCACGAAGATTTCCTCGGAAATTGAGCTTCCCAACTTCACGATTTGATCGCGAAGGCTCCGACAGCGGTTGATGTAGCTGTTGACCTTCTCCCCTGAGGTAATCTTAGTTTCCAGCAGTTGCTGGAGTAGTCGGCTCGAGGAGACGGAGTCCTTGGGCTGATACATGCCGTTCAGGTGGCGCCAAGCGTCGAGGGCTGGGGCAGTCGATGTCTTGTATGAACGAATGTTCAGCTGCTCCGCCGGCGACATGTTACGCAGAAGAATCCCGTACGCCATCAGGGACTCGTTATAATAGCGAGTCCTTGCGTCGTCGGTGTCCTCAGCAGGTCCCGAGTAGCTCCCGTCGAAATAACGATAAACCTGCGCGTTTTGCAGCAGCAGCTCCAGCTCGAAGCTCCAGGTGTAAAAGTCTCTGCCGTCAAAGCACACACTTGTCTTTATTTTTTATATGCTCAAAAACCTTGATTGCGCGGAGAGAATTGCTTCATCGCTGGGACAGGGAGTCTTGGGGGTTGAGCCGTTCGTATCTAGGGAGAAGCCTTGCGGGGCGGAGTTTTGGCCGTTTGGGGCCGGTTGAGTGGGTTGGAAAGAAGTTCCCGCATCGCCATTCCGCAAGGTCTGGAGCCCTTGCTCCAGGCTCGTGAGTCGCTGAAGCAGTTGTGCGAGGACGGCGGAAGGAATCGTCGTCGTTTCCTCGTTTGTCGCAGCCGGGTTGGGCTGCGCTTCAGCCGTCAGATTCGTCTGACCTCCAGATCCTCCGGCCATTCTTACACGTGATCGTGTGCCGGACGCCACTTTCCGAATGTCGCAGATTTCGGAGATGGCGATGCGAAGGATTCCTGAGTCGCTCTCATACCATGCTAGAATGAGAAGTTGATCGTGGCCTAGGATCTACTCAGGAAGGTTCGCACGCAGAGAAGTGATGTTGGTGGGCCCTTGACCTCAATAGCAGAGTGAATGTAAATGCTTGAGATGGTTAAGACATGCAGATACAACGATATAAATAAGAGTACAGGGGAATATGAATCGACCTAGCTAGCCATGTACTCCAAGGGGTACATTCCCTTATTCAAATACATTCCCAACTGTGCGGCGCGAACAGTTACGAAACTGTTCCCGCCGAAACCATCCTGCCTGCAGCTGCCTGATGCTGTCTGCTCCGACGGTTCAGATGCGTCCCAACTGTCTGACGCTTCGGGTCGTTTCCAACCGTCTGACGCTTCGCGTTCATTCGCGATACTGCGTGCTTCTCTTTGCTGCGGTGAGGAGTGCACAGTAATATTCAAGTATTACTATTCGTAACAGTAAAAATTCAAATCATAGTGAATGTAGATGACCAAGTTGGTTAAAAGATATAATACAAAGTATATAATTAGTCTTACCGTCATCGCCCGGATATAAGAAAGTGTTGAATAGTAGAAAGGGGTTGTCTATTATACGGGTGCCTCTTATAAACAGGCTAGCCTTTTTATACGACACCTATTTGTGTGTACGAGATAAGACATATTGTCAGAATGTTATAATTGTCTAGCCTGCAGTGGGGTACTCTATAGCGAGTACAACCCAATTAGGGTTTCCTATATGTATGCCAACTGCTGCTAGTGCAACCCCCTCTCTTCTTCATTCTCATTCCTTCACATGCTATCAGAGCATCTACGCTCCTGTCCTGTGGGCCCACCTAACTGCTTCCGCTGCTACTCTGTGTGTTGCACGCCCCGTGGCGTGCGACAGACTTTTTTTTCTTCTTCTTCCCCTTCTAGAGGCCCCTCTCACAGCCCCTCCCGCCACCCCTAGCGGCCCCGTCGCCGCCCTTCTCGGCCCCTCGAGGCCCCTTCGCGGCCCCGTCGCCGCCCCTAGCGGCCCCGTCGCCGACCTTTCAGGCCCCTCGCGGCCCCTTCGCGGCCCCGTCGCCGCCCCTAGCGGCCCGTCGCCGCCCTTCCAGGCCCCTCGCGCCCCTTCGCGGCCCCGTCGCCGCCCCTATCGGCCCCGTCGCCGCCACCAGCGGCCCCGTCGCCGCCCCTAGCGGCCCCGTCGCCGCCCCTATCGGCCCCGTCGCCGCCTCCAGCGGCCCCGTCGCCGCCACTTGCGGCCCCGTCGCCGCCCCTAGCGGCCCGTCGCCGCCCTTCCAGGCCCCTCGCGGCCCCTTCGCGGCCCCGTCGCCGCCCCTATCGGCCCCGTCGCCGCCACCAGCGGCCCCGTCGCCGCCCCTAGCGGCCCCGTCGCCGCCTCCAGCGGCCCCATCGCCGCCACTTGCGGCCCCGTCGTCGCCCCTTTCGGCCCTGCCTCGACCCTGCCCCGGCCCCGCCCCGGCCATGCTCCGTCGCCTGTCGCGGCGCACCGGGGGCCCGTGCACCGCCCCCCCCCCTCTTTTCCCGTCGCCTGTCGAGGCGACCTGAGGGGGCCGACCTGGGGGGGGGGGGCGAGCGTCGCCCCTTCTGCCGCCTGCTTTGGCGCCCTGGGAGGCCGCGCGTCGGCCCCCCCCTCCCCCCCCCCCCCCGTAACCTCCCTACCCGCCGTCCCGCCCTGCCCTGTGTTAGGGTCTGGGGGTGGCGAGTAGGGGGTGGCGGGTGTGTGGTCTCCCCTGCTCCTCCTCCTCCTCCTCTGTCTCCCACTGCTGCAGCTGCCGCTGAGGGGGGTGGGTGTGTGGGAGTCGACGGAGTGGTGCTAGGGGGTGGGGTGTGAGTGAACCTAGGGTGCAGCAAGGGGTGTGTGAAAGGGGGGTGCTGTGGGAGTGGAACTAGGGTTTGAGCAGGGGGTGTGTGTCGAGGGTGTGGGGCAGCTGGAGGAGGTTGTGTGAAGGTAGCTGTCGTGTCGCCTGCAGCGCCTGTAGTCCGTCGCCCTTGCTTCGGTAGCCAGTGAGCCTGTTGCACCAGTCGCCAGTGGGTCCGTTGCTCCTGCCGCTCGTCTATAGCCGCGGAGCCAGTTACTCCAGTAGTCCGTCGCCCTTGCTTCGGTAGCCACTGAGTCAGCCGCTCCTGTGCCCGTGCCTCTGCAGCTTCAGTCGTTGCCTCCCATCTTCTCTCTCTCCACAGTTCCTCCTCCTCCTCACTTCCCCGCTGTGATTAACTCTAGCTTTGCTCCCTATTGTGAACTCCTGCTCTATGCCTGCTTGCTCACTGTGTTGATTACACCCCACTTTGGCTATGGGGGTGTGTCAGAATGTTATAATTGTCTAGCCTGCAGTGGGGTACTCTATAGCGAGTACAACCCAATTAGGGTTTCCCATATGTATGCCAACTGCTGCTAGTGCAACCCCCTCTCTTCTTCATTCTCATTCCTTCACACATATGTGTCTTATAATTGAAACTGCAATGTATTTTAGTGAAAATTGAAATACCGCGTACATTTTTACCCTTGCGACACGCGAATTCTGCCATGTGCTGACTCACATACTGCCAAATTTGACTTTGCAAATATTCGGGATGACGTGGCGTCCCGAACAATGGTTGCCGAAGTGGCACATTCGCAACATTGACACTCTTAATGAGAAACTATTTTCAAGATGCGTGAAAATATTTCGAAGTAGTTTAAAAAAGTTTCCATTTATAAGAATTATAAGACACCCAAAATCTCCCCAAATACCGTACAAGATAACCCAAGCATTTTTTTTAGTGTATGAGATAAGACATATATGTCTTATATCCGGGTGATGACGGTAACTAGCCATGTACTCTAAGGGGTACATTCCCTTATTATAACTACTTTACAGGTACCTCTACATTGACTCTGACTATTGCACTTTTTTCTTGTTACCGAGTCGCTGCATGTAACCTGTATATACGGTTACGTCTGTTGCCATTCTTCGATGGTGAGTCAAGCGTCGGTCCAGATGGTCAACAGTCGCGACAGTTGACTTTTGCGGTTTAGGAGTGCACAATAGTATTTCACTATTCTTAACACAAATATCTCAATGCAGGTGGGCACAAGCGCCAAGAGACGGAGAATAGTCCAGTGTAGAGGTATGGGCATCCTACCCTGCCAATTCATAACCTAGGTATCTAATCTATAACTTCTTTCCTGCCAATGATGGTTCGCGAAGCATGTTCGCATACATCATATCCACCCACGCGTCTGGCACACCTGGCAAGCACCAATGCGTGCAGTCCCCTGAAAACGGAGACTCGCCGTTGCCAGCTGGCGAACCAGGACCAGACGAAGGCCTCCTCTTGAACCAAGGTCCCTGATGTGCATCAGGTCGCATCGCGCTCAGGCTGGTAACCTGGAGGAACCGTAGAGTCGAACCCATCAGTGCTGTTTTCTGAGTTGTCATGTACGCTTCGGACGTCGGGAGCGATAACGAGTAATCCTTTATCGCCAACTGTTCGGACATGGGTTTCACCGCCCCGCATGCGCCAACCCAGGCGGGTTTTCCCCCAGCAGAAGTGCCCTGATACACTCCGTTTTGCGGGTTGCCCATGCCGCCGTGGTGGGGCGAGAACGAAATAAAATACGGCACGCCACCGTAGTTGGAAGTTTTCAAATAAGAGCTGAGCGTGTTGAGAGCCCACGCGTGCGCGTCGAGATTCGAGAGGTTCTTCGGGGAGTTATTCACGAAGAAGACGTTGGGCTGCTTGCGACGCGGGACGTTCTGCTGCCACCAAACTCCCGACGCGAAGACCGCCATGGCGTATTCCGGAAGGATCTTCGCGACCGTCGGATGGATCTTGTCCACGTGGACGTCGTAGCCGTGGCCGCCCTTCGCGTTCGCGGTCTGGGCGCCGCGCGTGATCGCGTAGACGAGGTAGGGCGAGAAGAGGTGCTCGATGGAAATGCCCATGCGGGGAAAGCGCACGCCTTTAACATTGAACACGCCCCCCGTGTTGCGCTGGTAGGGCTGGGGATGAGAAAGGGGAAGTTGGGAAGCAAAGTAGGGTAAATCTGAGTCACTTTCCAGAATTGAGGTGCTCGATGGAAAGAAACGCCCATGCGGGGAAAGTGGACGCCTTTAACGATGAACACGCCCGCCGTGTTGCGCTGGTACGGCCGGGGAAAGAGTGGAGGTGGGTTGGCGGAGCGAGGTGCCAGCGGAGAGGGGAGGAGAGTGGGGGAATTGGGGGAAATGGGGGGGTGAGGGATTGGAGTGAACGCCTGCGAAGTCTAGATAGATAAGAGAGGAAGGGGGAGAGGAAGGGGCATAAGAAGGGGGATATCCGAATGGCTCACCTCGCCCTTGAAGCCGCCGATGTGGATGGCGCAGAGGAGCGCCTCGTAAAAATTGGACATCATCGAGTCGCCCACCAGCAGCACTTTCTGCACCAATCGCGACGGAGACGGGGGGAGAGCAGGGGAAAAGGGGGGACAGCGGGGGAATGGGGGGGGTAGTGCGGGTGTGGGAGGAGCGCAGCGCCTCGTAAAAGTTGGACATCATCGAGTCGCCCACCAGCAACACTTTCTGCGCCGCGAAAGACGGACAAGGAGGGACAGCCGGGAGAGGGAGGGGAAATGGAGTGTGGGAGGTGCGCAGCGGCGCGAAGAAATGGGGAAGGGATGGGGAAAACGGAGGGACGGAAAGGGGGAAACGGAAGCGAGGAAACGGCAGGGGAAAAGGGGGGGAGTGGCGGTGTGAATTTGGACATCGAACCAGCAGCGAAGAGGGGAAGGTATCGGGGGAAGAGGGAGAATGGGGGTGGGGGTGGCGGGGGTGGAGGAGGGGGGGAGAGGGGGGGGGGGAAGAGGAGGGGAAGTGAGGGGTGTGAGAGGTGCGCAGCGGTGAACAGAAAACAGTGCTAAAAAAGAAAATCCTAAATAAACAAATACTATGTCGTAGATTCCCGCTGCGTACCTTCTGCTTGAGCATGTACTTAAAGCCCGAGGGGCTGAAGTATGAGTACATGCACTGCTTGGGCTGCCAGCGGTACCACTGAAACCGCATGTCCGCGCGCCCGTTGCGCTCGCACGCGAAATCAGACCGCACATAAGGGCAAGAGTTGGGCTTTCCCGGAAGCGACGTGTACCGCGGAAATCCTTTGGTCCCCTTCCGCCACTCCCCGGTCGTGAAGTCGCATTTCGCGTTCCGGACTGGAGGGGGAAAGGGATGGCGGAGTTGGCGCGGGTGAGGCGGGGTTCGGGGGAAGCGGAAGAATCTTGGAATTGGGAGTGCGTTGTGCGAGAGGGATGAGTTGTGCAAGCACGTCATCAGTCTTCGAAATGCGTAACTCTTCTCACGTACTAACTACATTTTCTGCAGTGATGATGACTTGGGATGACGTGTTGAGGACTGGCTAACCTTGAGCGCTAGTGCTGCTCCCGGAACGGCGAGCCGCGCGAACAAGGTGACCTTGAGTCGACTCAAAAGTCACCCCATTCAATGCTGACGATGACGTGTCAACGATGACTGACCTTGAGGCGTTACTGCTGCTCCTGCAACGTCGAGCTGCGCGAACACTCCCACGACAGTGATGACGGCGATGATCGTGGACATCGTTACTGAGAAACCCCGTTTCGTCCGCGCTAATGCAATCTTTCGGTGGTCGGTATAAGCTCCCATCTTCGACCGTATGCGCGACTGATTAGACACAGATCCAAACTGTGGGTTTTCCCGAACAGGTCTACCAGCTTTCCAGCAGAGAAAAGCTTCTGTTATCCCTGTGAAGGCTGCTGAAAGAGCATGCCTCCTTCTGTAAAGCGAACAGACCAGGCGATAGGGGCGGGACGCCGCTAGCAGCGTCGAGGGAATCTAGCGGGTATGGCGAATCACATTCGCTGAGTGGTCTGGACGGCTCCTAAGTCCTGAATGGAGCGACCGGGATGGTTGCTGGAGCAACGACTGTATTGAAACTAGGGTTTAGATGGTTTAGATTCCAAGTGTAGGTCAGAGTGATCAATTCGGGTTCCTCAGTGCTCGGATCGGCTTTTGGTATCCCACTAGTGTCGCGCAAGGCTGCTTGAGGGTTGAGTGATTTAGGGCCTTGACTAAGCTCGATGCCGCACCCGCAGCGGCGACATGAGAAACTGGTGGCTGTGGTTAAAAAAAATCGCCGACAACGGCGGGGGGGCGAGGGCCAAATTCAACCCTAGCGTGGAATGCGGCGCCTCAAAACAAGTCGCGGATCGGGTTGGGAAGGGATGTGGGGCTGAAGGTCGAGACTTGGGGCTCTAGTCGGGAGTGTTGTTATCGGGCACGAATTTCCGAATGAGGTTCGTCGACACCAAGATTGACCAACAAATGGAGCTAAGGTGTCCACAGGATTGAGTTTTTCGTAGCAGCGGAAGGATCAGTGAGTTTAGTGCGGGATGGCGGAGCCAGCTCAACCGGGCTGGGGTGGTTCGTGCAGACTTCCAAACCTGTGTTGGTCGGTAGAAGGGCTGCAGCTTTCGAATGGACTTGCTTTTGCCATGCTTCACCATCGTGGTGAGTGGCGGAATGGGATTGCAGGCAGGTGACAAAAAACTGTGCTTGCCTGAACTCCGTCATTCGAGAGTTTTGCTAAATTCCGTGAACTCGTGGTTCGTTTTATTATTGCCACGTGGAATGCCTTCGAACGCGTGAACCGCGATCTGTTATATTGTTATCACAAACTTCAAGAGAAATTTAGTTAAGTTCTGTACTGTGCTGCCCGCGGGCAAAAATAAAACCCATTCGGGCCTGGCATGCGTTAGAGAGGCATCAACCCTAAACACCTTGCTTATAGGTAAGGCATGCCTTACCTATAGGGGTTTTATTTTTGCCCGAGGGCAGCGCAGTACAGAACTTAACTAAATTTCTCTTGAAGTTTGTGATAACAATAAAACAGATCGCGGTTCACGCGATCATTGGCTCGCCACGTAGCAAAAATAAATCAAACTGCGCTTTCTCGGAATTGAGAGAAATTCTCCCGTCATTCGTCCATTCCATTTCCCGTTTCCTGCTGGTTCAACATTTCGAGCCGTGGATACGAACCGCGAATTGACTGCACATTGCTCTCTATGCAGAAATGCACAGCGAAGTTCGTGCATGGCGGTGCGAGTGATGCTGGCGAAACCCCGTCACTGGTTCGAGCGCGAAGAGGCTGCCGCGCAAACGCGGGATTGCTGGGTGGGAAATAACGTGGCAAGGTCAGAGTCGAAAGGGTGCTGCTAGTAGTAGAGACCACTTTCAGATTCACTAGCACTCATCCTAACAATATTAATGAAGTTTAGTTATACCAGTATTCTGAATTACTCAACATACATACATACCTACCTTATCCCTCAGTCGTACATCATCATATCAGGTATTTTACGAGGGGGGGGGGGGGGGGGGGGGGGGGGGGGGGGGGGGTTAAAATTAAGCATTCACATTCATGCGCTCGGGGCCTCCCCGCATACCTCCTCACACAAAATCATGCACTTCCATGCCTTCGCAAGTGAGTTATTTATAACCTCGTATGGCTAGTGGGTCAGCCAGGTTGAGATGCGAGAATGATCCTATCACATTGGTCTGGCAATAAACTGGCAATACATTACACACATTTCCCCAAGACAGAATCTCGTACAGGATCCAGTATCAAAAGTACAAGCAGTTTGTAACAACTGAAACAGCAAACGGTTCAAGCAGCAGGCGGGTCAGAAAGTAGAAAACAACTCCCAACCCAATCGAGATGGGCAGCGCAGGTAACGCCCGCTTCTGTAGCGCCAAAAGCACAAGTGTAGCGCCCAGCCCTGCAATAATTGCAAGGTAACACGCATACACTGTCATCAAATCATACATAGCAGCCCTCCCCACCAGAACCCCATAGAAGATAAAATCCCCCATTCCAAGCTTGATGGCACTTGGGAGGTCTGGACCGAAGCTGCTGCTCGGTTCCAAGCTCGGGCTCGGCAGATAGTGAATATCATCTGGGTCGTCAGCGGCATAAGTATGCACCTCTTGGTTCGGTTGCAAGCCGACCCTGCCAGGCTCGGCAGGCTGCCCTCTGCCGTGGCTACTGGTAGCAGCAAGGGTCGTTGATGCGCCTGCAGCTGTGGTAACAGCTGCCCTAGCAGCAGCAACGGCAGCAGCAGCAGCAGCAAAATTAGAAGAACCGTTATCACCATCATCATCACCACCATCGTCATCACCACCAGCAACAGCACCAGCTTCCGCAGAACCAGCACTAGTGCCCGCAGCAACAGCAGCAGCAGCAGCAGAAGCAACAGCGCCAGCAGCAGCAGAGGCAGCAGCAGCAGCAGCAGCAACAGCAGCAGCAGGGCCACCTTGATTCAGATCCTCCACACGAACCGAGGACAAGTCAGCTGACCACCCCCCACTCCCCTCACAATCCCCTCTGCTCCCCCACCCACCAGACCCAAGCAAGCTATGCGGGCGACTGCTACCCTCAGCAACAGAGTGTGGAAACCCATCTGTTCTGCCTGGCACCGCTCCGCACCCCACTGCACCCCCACTCACCTCAAACCCTCTCATCTGCCCGTCCACCACACCAGGCAAACCCTCCACTCCCACACTCTGCCCCTCAATCCCTGCAATCTGCCCTTCCAGCCCGGCTCTCATCCGAATGCCGCCACTCACTGCCCCCATGCTCCACTCCGGTCCAAGCGATACCGCCCGGGAGATCGTCCCGCCTCGCCACCGCACCCTCTCTCTCTCCCTCTCCCTCTCGCGCAGGTGCTGGCTGGCAACCTCTCTGAGCCGCGCTATTTCTCGCTCCACCTCCTCCTCCCCTCTCACTGCTGTCTCCTCCCCACCCACCAGCAAACCTGCAGCTGCAGCAGCAGCTGCCGCTGTTGCTCCCGCTGCTCCTACATCTCCTGCTCCTCCTCCTCCCCCTCCTCCTTCTCTGCCTGCTGCTCCTGCTGCTTCTGCTTCTGCTCCTGTCCCCCCCTCTCGTTCCTGCACTCCCAACATCCCCACTCCTTCCCTACTCCCCCTCACCTCCACACGCTCCCCATGAGCCAAACTCACTCGAACCACAGGCGCCACTGCTTCCTCCTCCCCACTCCCCCCCACTCCCCCTCCTCTCCCTCTCCCTCCTCCTTCCACCAATCCGCTTTGCTTGGGAGACGGCATGGAAAGTGTGCGACCCACTCTCCCTACCCTAGAGCTACCTGCTCGCCCGCTCTCCCCTCCCCGCCGCCCTCTGCTGCTTCCCGGGCGGCTCCTGCTACCAGACAACTGATCCACCGCCCCGTTATAAGGCACCTCGTTAAGCAGCACTCCACTCCCCCCGCGATTCAAGTCTGCTGCATGCTCGCTCCACTCACCACTCCTCCTCTGCTGCCCCTCCCCTCCTCTCTCTCCTCCACTCCTCCCTCCTCCTGCACCATCTGGTGGGATTGCCACTCCTCGACTTAAAAGTGGCATCCCTTCAATCTCTCCTTCCTCTCTCTCACCCCCGCCTTCTACCCCCCTCCCCCTCCTCCCCTCCCCTCTCTCCCCTCCCAGCCTTTCATCCCCCCCTTGAGCTGCAGTGAGGCGCAGAGCAGAAGTGGCAGCAGCGGCTGCAGCAGAAGCAACAAAGGCACTCAGTTGTCCAGCAAAGGTCCTTCCGCCACCACCACCACTGCCACCACCACTGGCAGCACCAATCGCACCACTGCCCTGCTGCTGCAACCGCCGCTCAAATTGGCCTCGCACACGCGTTCTCCTTGACCCACAAGCACCGCTCCCCACCGCACCACCCGTCATCCCATCCCCCCCACTTCCTCCTCCCCCATCCGCCTGTCCCAGGGCTGTGTTAGGGACGAGAGCGCTACTAGTGCCAGCTGTGCTGTTTGTAGCCCGAAATGTGGTGCCGGATGGAGAGGGGTTAGATGCAGTGGAGGGAGATAGAGAGGGCGGGAAGGAGGACGAGGAGGAGGAGGGGGAGGAGGAGAGTGGGGGATGGCCGAGGCGAGTTGGCATGGTGGGATGAGAGAGAGGGGGGAGTGGGAGAGTGGGACCGGAGGGGAGCGAGTGACCGGAGGGGAGAGGGCGAGTGGGAGTGAGAAGGCGGGGAGGAGGACGAATGGGAGGAGGAGGGGCGAAGGGCATGGGTGGGGGCCTGGCTTCGTAGATGAGTGCTGGGATGTCCTCGTCCCGCTCCATGGCTATGTCTAGTAGCAGCTTGAGGGGACCCACTGGGGTAGAACAGTGGGGGTGGAGTAGGGAAAACAGCAGGGGAAGGGTATGTCACAGATAAGTGACTTGAAGCAGCATGCCATGTAGATGAGTGCTGGGATGTCCTCGTCTCGCTACATGGCTATGTCTAACAGGAGCTTGAGGGGGCCAACTGGGGTAGGACAATGGGGGGGATGGAAGGAGGTGAATCGAAACAGTAAACTGGGGGAGTGCAGGGATGTCCTCGTCTCTCTCCATGGCTATGTCTAGTAGGAGCTTGAGGGGGCCCACTGGGGTAGGAAAATAGGGGGGATGGAAGGAGGACAGTGGGAGAAAGGGAGGAAGGGGAGTGAGTGAGTGAATCGAAACTGTACCGCGGATTAGTGCTGGGATGCCCTCGTCTCACTCCATGGCTATGGTGAAAAGGGGTGTGAGAACAGCGTTGAGGTCGTAGAGAGACATGGCAATGAGGCAATGAGGACCATCCACGTGGTCCGTTCGGGCTGGCTGGAGAGCCAGAAGGAGCTAGTGTTGCCTGGCGTCGAACAGTCACATACCCGGGACGTTCTGAGACGTGTAGGAAGAATGCCACATACCTGGTGTGAGGACAGCATAGAGGTCGTAGAGTGACATGGCAATGAGGATCATCCACGTGGTCCGCTCAGGCAGGCTGGAGAACCAGAAGGTGCTGAAATTGGGATTGCCTGGGGTAGGAGGGGCACATACCTGATCTGAGGAGTCCTGAGGCGTCTGAATGTGCACGCAACTGGCGTGAGAGCAGTGCAGAGATCATAGAGTGACATGGCGGTGAGGACAATCTACTTGGGGCACTCGGGCAGGCTGGAGAAATCACAAGGCTCTAGGATAGGGACTGCCTGGGGTTGGAGAGGCATATAACTGAGGATTCCTGGGGGGTCTAGCTATGCACATACCTGGCGTGAGAACAGCGTAGAGATCGTAGAGTGACATGGCAATGAGGACCATCCACGTGGTCCATTCAGGGAGGCTGGAGAACCAGATGGAGATGGGATTGCCAGGGTTTGGAGAGGCATGTGTTTGAGGTGCGAGAGGCGCGTACCTGGTGTGAGAACAGCGAGATCCAGACATAGCTGCGTGCGAGAGGCGCGTACCTAGCTGCACTGAGCTATGTCTGGATCTCGAGAGGCGCGTACCTGGTGTGAGAACAGCGTAGAGGTCGTAAAGCGACATGGCGATGAGCACCATCCACGTGGTCCACTCTGGCAGGCTGGAGAACCAGAAGGCGACGATGGCGCCGACCGCGACGAGGTAGGACTGCGTGAGGAAGATGGGCATTCGGCAGAAGAAGACTGCGAGCACTCCCACCACTGACAGGTTGTACACGAGGAGAGCGAAGGTGATGATGTCTATGGGTATGGAGAAGCGCTGAGGCGTTGGGGGGGACAGGGGCGGGGAGGAAATGGTGCGGGTAGGGAGGGCGGAGAAGGAGGATAGTGTGTGTGAGTGAGAGAACGAGACAGGGATGAAGCACAAGAGTGGAACGCAGGGACTGGACTGGACTGCCCTGAAAAAGCAGCACAACAAGAGCGATAGGGAGCAGGAGAGGTGCACAACCCGCCGCCCCCGTCACAGCAGCAGCAGCAGAACCAGCAAGAGACAGGGAGATCAACAGCCCACCTGAATGAGCTGCACTGCCAGTGTGCCGCCCAGTCCAGCAAAGATGACGAATCCGGAGGAGCCCATGTAGCCCCAGATGCAGCGCGCACACCCGCAGTAGAACAGCCCCACCAGCACAGCCCCACCAGCCCAAGCCCATGTAGCCACACATGCAGAGTGCTACGTGCACACCCACAGTACCAGAGTACCACAGTGACTCACCTGAATGAGCTGCACTGCCAGAGTGCCGCCTAGTCCAGCGAATATGACGAATCCCGAGAAGCCCATGTAGCCCCAGATGCAGCGCGCACACCCGCAGTAGAACAGCCCCACCAGCACAGCCCCATGAGCATAGCACCACCAGCACAGCCCCATGAGCATAGCACCACCAGCACAGCCCCATGAGCATAGCACCACCAGCACAGCCCTATGAAATCTCACCTGAATGAGCTGCACTGCGAGAGTGCCGCCCAGCCCGGCAAAGATGACGAATCCCGAGAAGCCCATGTAGCCCCAGATGCAGCGCGCACACCCGCAGTAGAACAGCCCCACGAGCACGAATGTGGCTGCTGTCACCAGCGCCACCATCGCTGCTGCGTTCAGCAGCGCGCCCCACAGCCGCTGCCAGGGCGCGTCCGTGCTGGTCGGGTGTGGACGGAGAGGGGAGGGAGGGGGAGGGGGGGGGGAGAGGAGGGGGGTGTGAAGAGACGAGGGCATGCGGTGGTTGGTTGTAACCAGCCCTACCACTCTCACGCGTTCAGCAGGAGACGTGAGGGAGTCAACGAGCGTACCTCCCGCAGGAGACGCGCTAGTCAACGCGCATACCTCTCTTCCTGATACACCAGCGTTGCGATGGTGGGCGTTGTGACGGACGCGCCGTGCGGGGTGAGCGCGAGCACGAGCGCGACGACAAGCAGCATGCAGATGGACACGGGCGTCACGATTGCCACTATCTCCTGCCCTAGCGTCTCCAGCAACCCGCCCTCCTCGCCGAACTTCTCGCCGAACCTCTCGCCGGACCTCCCTCCGAGCCTCGCGGCTCCGCTGTCTCTGTTGATGTGAGCAGGAACGTAGTCGTGTCGCCTGACTTCTCGCCGCGCTTGCGAGAGAGGAGGACGATCCCTGCTGTCGCATGGTCGGTCGCTGGCGTCGCCGGCGGTTCGCGGGCCCGTCAGCGGCTGCGTCTCCGAATCGGAGATCTCAATCTCGTGACGTGGACTTCCCTGATTGGCCGCTGCGACCTCATGACGTGAATTAGGACGGGAGCGGCTCGAAGAGGCTGAGGGGTTCATCCCGCCAGACGGCAATGCTGTTGTTGCTGCTGCTGTTATTTCTGCTGATGCTGATGCTGATGCTGCTGATGCTGATGCTGCTGATGCTCTTCCTCTTCCTCCTCCTCCCCCTGCTCCTGCATCTGCTCCTGAATGACTCGTCCTCGCTGCCTCGGGATCATCCGGCGGTGTCGAACCCCCCATCACCAAGGCTCTCTGCTGGCCTCTCTACCTTTCAGAAACAGCCAATTGACTGCTCAACCTGTTCTGCGGGTTCATCCACGCTCTTAGCTCGCTCAGCCATGCTCAATATCCACGTGGCTCGCGGCGAAGAAGCTCTCGTCTATCTGGGATGAGTTTCCGAAGGAAATTAGACACTCCTAACGAACTGGAGCCTACTAGGTCAACCGACTATTCAGACTCGGTTTTCGGGCTACATGGCTGGAAATGTGACAATCGACTCGCTGGAGATCCCGAGGTTTCAATTTGGCTGGGCAAATTTCAAGGTTGGGAAGATGTTGCAGGTCTGTGGCTAGCGAACTTGGACATTCGGTTCGTTCTCAGGGAGTACTCTTTCGAAGAGCCAGCGCATGTTACAGAACATTTGCCAATTTAATATATATTTTAATACGTGACAGTAAACCTGCATCCATGCAAATGCCTACAAGGATACAATCCAAGCTTTTATTCCACCACTTCCTGATGTACATCGACCTAGGGTCAGGAGTGCTTGAAAGCAGAATGCAGCAGGCTCTACAACCTACAAATTCATTCCCCTACCCAACATTGGCGTATTTCATGGATACTCAACTTCACGCTAGCTTAGGAAGAACATAGCGGATGAAAAGGTAAATTGCTGGGGCTGTGAAGATGTAGCTATCTGTGCGGTCCAAAATGCCACCATGTCCCGGAATGAGAGAGCCAGCATCTTTCACTCCGGCCTGGCGCTTGAGAGCTGACTCAAACAGGTCACCAAAAAGAGATGAAGCAAAGACAATCACACCGAGCACCGCTGCACTGCAGAATGGAAAAGAGTGATTGGGAACAACGTGTTCCAAAAAGGAAAGGGGGGGGAGGGGAGGGGGGCTTGAGGAATCACAAAAACAGAAATTATGTTGCAAAACGATCAGCACTGAGCAGTATGCATTGGGCAAAAAAGTCACGCTGCAAAATGTGAACATGAACCAACCATTTACGGCATGAGAAAGCAGGACAGCACCTGATAGGTGTGGCAGGCCAGCTGAAGGCACGGGAGAGGAGGACAGACACAGAGACTGAAGAGGCCAGCCCAAACAACGCCCCTTCAACTGTCTTTTTGGGGCTCAGCTCTGCCAGTTACCAGTGCAGGAGAAGAAGTAGTGGTGGGGATGGATGTACATGACACATGAGGAATTGGGGGGCACAAAGGACAGCAGGTGTGAGTGGCGATGGCTGACACATGCGGGATGGTGGGATGTGAGATAGGCGGTATGGTACTATGTGGGATAGGGCAGGGTCATGTGTAGGTCGGGGTTGCAGATGAACACAGGGTGATGGTGGAGACGAGAGCGACAGACGAACAACAGGTTCACAATGATAAGTGCACATGAAAACAGGTTCACAATGATAAGTGCACATGAGAACAGGCTCACAATGATAAGTGCACATGAAAACAGGTTCACAATAATAAGTGCACATGAAAACAGGTTCACAACAATAAGAGAGCATGAAAACAGGTTCACAATGATAAGTGCACATGAAAACAGGTTCACAATGATAAGTGCACATGAAAACAGGTTCACAATGATAAGTGCGCATGAAAACAGGTTCAGGAAACCAACGTTTGCGATTCATGATCATGTTTTTTTTCAAATATATGGACTGCTTTATTTCCCATTCTCCTCGTTCATTCCAAACCTTACAGTCCACAGACCTGCTTCCCACCACCCACCCTCACCCACCCACACTCACTCACCACTGAGAGGCGTCTTGCCAAAGGACTTGCCGCCCAAATACGCCCCAGTGTCGGCAGCAATGACCCCCGCAAAGCCCATGAAGATGGCCACCAGCCCTGTGGTCCACAGCGCCGGCCCTCCCAGCAGGGCGGGCCACACCCGCGCCACTGGGGATGACGTGGTGGCTGTAGTCGCCAGCCCACACCGCAGCTGGAATGGTGGGGTGTTGGGGAAAGAGAGGGCGGAAGTACGGGGAGAGGTGGGAGGGACGCAAGGTTTAAAGGGGAAAGGTGCAAACAAGCGAGGCGGGGGGAGGCACAGGCCATGCAATCCGCAGGCAAGCCGCTCCCGTAGCTGGATTTGCAGGAAGGCGGGGGGAGTGGGTGAGAGGAGGGAGGCAAGACTTGAACAGGGAGAGGTGCAAGAGGGGAAAGCCCAAGACGATTGCAACAATCCCCACCGGCCGCAGAGAAAGCCACAGCCACGCCATTAATGGCGCCAGTTTGGAGGTAGACACAAGCCCATACCACATCCAAAGGGGGAAGAGAGGAGGAGGAGATCGGAGGGAGAGAGGGAGGTGGGGCGGGAAAGGATGAGGGATTGCTGAAGCAGCAAACCCAACCATAAGTTCGGCCAAAAAGAATCAATACGTAACGTGAACCGGAAGCTTCCAAAAAGGCAGTGATCCACGCAGGGGGCATAGCCCACCGTGACCCAGAAGCTGGGCAGAAAGCCGCAGTAGAAGAGGGCACGGACGTAGCCAGTGAATTGGCTCCAACGAGGCCGCTTGGGCTGAGTCAACAGCATGGCCAGCAGCAGCCCGCCGGCGAATCTTACTTGTAAGTCAACTCTTTCGAGTTGAGAGAATATAGCTCACCGTGACCCAGAAGCTGGGCAGGAAGCCGCAGTAGAAGAGGCCGCAGACGTAGCCCGTGAACTGACTCCAACGAGGCCGCTTGGGCTGAGTCAGCAGCATCGCCAGCAGCAGCCCGCCGGCGAATTTCACTCCCGGGGTCAAAAGCCCGCCATTCACCCTGCCATGAACGATGGGATAAGGCAATCATAAGAGCAAAGCTGACTCTTCAGTCGACTTCAATATCAGGCCTCCAATTTCACCCCCAGAGTTAAAAGCCCACCATTCACCCTGCCATGAACAAAGGGATAAGAGAACCATAAGAGCTAAGGTGACTTTCCAGTCGACTTCAAAAACAGGCCTCCAACGAGTTTCACCCCCAGAGTTACAAGCCCACCATTCACCCTGCCATGAATGAAGGAAGGGAGCACATAAATAAGAGAGCTGAGATAAGCGGCCAGTGTTGCCTAGAAACTTTCGTTGACATTCCAGAGGCACTTCAGGAGAATGGTCGCCGGGAGGCTTATCAGATTCTCACCCATCCGTTGGCCTGTCATACGCTGTTAACCAAGGTACGGGCAGCTTCAACTTGTATTTTTCCTTGATGCATACTCCGACCAGATTTACTTACTTTTTTTTCATAAATGATTACTTTCTTTCGCGACGCATGTCAGGCGCCTTCGGGGAACCCAGAATCACGCAAAACAAATAATACGCACGTGGCTGCTCATGGAGCAAGCAACGCATCGCGTGCGGAGAGCACGCTGCGCCTGGTGAGCTTACGTGGCGTTGGTGAAAGAATCGTGCGTTCGTCCCCGATCCCTTGCCACCGTATCTCAAACGATAAGATTCCATAGCTTGTAAACCCCATTGAATCCGACCCTTGACCCTCTCTCCCCCACCATCGACGCCCCCTTTTCCATAGCCTAATCAATCAGAGACTCTATCTCCAACCAATTTCCGCTTCCTTTCGATCACTTCATAACTGCAACCCGCGCCTTTCCAACGCTGCCTACGCTTCATCCCGTGATACGAAAACACCTCCTTATTTCTTATAATGTTGCCCTCAGTCGCAACAATCGGCTTGAGAGTTGACCATGTGATGTGCAAAGCGATAGCTACGGGAACACACCCTCATATAGAAATGACTAACACTTCCATTATGTCCTTTTTTTTGTTTACGTTAAAAAATGATGACAATCTTACATTGCAATGAGCGGCATGATGGCGCAACCGATGCAGCCAATGTAGACCGACAGTCGCGAAGGAACGGCCACGTTGTTCAGCTTCGCCCGCGCGTTAATCAGTTCAAAGTACTCCGCGGTACCGAGCAGCACCACTCCCGTCAGAAGAACCGTGAACAGCCAACTCCCCATCAACAGCGCGCCGAAAGCCAGCCCTCCAGCAAGCGATCCAAACTTCACCCGCCGCCAGAATTTTCCCTGAGCCACCTGCTCCTTCTGCTGCTGATCCTGCCGCTCCTGCTGCTGCGGTTGTGGTTGCAACTGCTCCTGCTGCGTTTGCGCTTGGGATGGAGCAGCACTATCAGACGCAGTTGAAGAATTGCCTGTATCGGACGAAGCCCCCCCGATGCTGCTGCTGGAGGCACTCTGATCAGAGTATTGCGACCTGAAATTAAGCGGCGAAGAGCTGATTCTGCCATGTGCCCCGTGCGCGTCTGAGGCAGCAGTTACATCTCGCAGCGATCGCCTTTTCAGAGTGCTTGTGGATGTGTTTGTGTCCATCTGCCGAAGCGTCAATCTGTGCAAGCTTCCCAACGTTGCTGATTCGCTTGTGAGGTGATGGTAACGCGAGGAACATACTGAACTAGAAGAAGAATTGTCGCGTTTACTCACGCAAGCTAGTCGACGAACCGACGACGAGTATTTAACGAAATTGGATTCAGTATGGCTGTCACAAAATGCTGTGTTCCCGCTAACAGGAAAGAGAGGTGTTCCGATGCTTGATCGACATAACCCTAAGCCCGTCGGCATGCTGTATGTCACTTGCTCTTGTCTTGTATTTTCCGAATAAACGAGATTACGACTAAAGGGCTATATCTTGACTAAGAAAGGGCTATATCTCGACCAGCGAATACCATGAGCTCAGCCACCAAGTGAAGATGAAGTCCAATCAAGATACAACCAAGTACAAACGCTCTAGAAGGCTGTGTAACTTGGTTGATCCACGAACACCAATGAGCCTGGATGTGACTGCAGAGCAAAGCTCCAACCAGATCAGAAATAGGCGGGTGTGAAGCTGAAGGGGGTGTCGCAGCTTTTGGTGGATCAGCCTCAGGACGAATGGAGAGGTACCCTGATGGAGGAGATGGGCGTGTTTACTCGTTGAAATTGGTCTCTGGGTAACCATGTGTACCATGTTGGATGGGATGGGACCACTCATAAATCTCGTTCCTATCCAATTTCGTATGGCTGACGTGGATAGGTTCAACCTGGGGCTTGGTGGTTGTCGATTTGGCAAAGCTGTGTCATCGCAACGTCACGCTGGGCGAAAAGGTGGTTGCATCATTTTTGTCACCCGAGCTTCGTGGGATGCGGCCCATCCACATTTCTTATGCAGACTTTCTTTTTAGGATGTAACTTTGCAGAATATCGATAGCGCGGTATTTTTGAGGTGCCGGTATAGCGGGAGATGCTGACGTGTAAACTTTTGGGGAAGAGGTCGCAACTCAACTGCCACCGCGTCTGACAGATGTGGTTGGCGCGAATGGCCAAAAGAAGTGCCGATGTCAGCATTTCCCACGGTGGACAATCGTGTGCTGCAAAGTTGCATATTTTTGCCACATAGGCAGTAAGCCTCCCACATCAGAACGATCGGCGCTACCAGAGATTGCCACAAAAGCGTACCCTCCACACACATCTGGGTGGACCTGCTTAGTCGGCGCTGTTTACTGGATAACAGCCAGCTTGAACCTATCCACCACCAACCACACGAACCGTGATCGTGGCACGGGCCGCTCTACCCTCGCCACTCTTCACAGAACCAGGTATAACACCCAGAGATCTCATTGTTTCAGCAACCAGTGCAAGCTTTCCTACCAAGTTCTTTTTCTCATTTTCCCTCCAGAAAAGGAAAATGGCTGCTATCACCTCGTCCGCCGTCGTTGCCCCTGTTGCCTTCAAGGCAACTGTGGAGGCCTCTGCTGCCTCCTCCAAGTCCGTGTCCTTCTCCGGCCTGAAGGCTGGTGTCGCCACCCCCAATGGCTTCGCCACCAAGACCGTCTCCAACGGCAGCCGTGTGTCGTGCATGAAGGTCAGTTCTTCAATCCCATTCCTCAGCTCGAGTATAGCGCAAGTTGGTTCAATTCAACGGCTTGTGGTATCATTCGATCTAGTGCTCACATGGTGTTCTGAAATGTGCAGGTGTGGAACCCCATTGGCAACCCCCGGTTCGAGACCCTGTCTTACCTCCCCGCTCTCACCGACGACATGATCGTCAAGGAGATCCGGTACATGCTCAAGAACGGCTGGGTCCCCGCTATTGAGTTCGATGCCAGCGGTGTTGTGTACAGGGAAAACAACAGCGGCCCCGGTTACTATGATGGCCGCTACTGGACGATGTGGAAGCTGCCCCTCTTCGGCTGCACCGACGCGTCCCAGGTGCTCAGGGAGATCAACGAGTGCAAGTCTTCCTACCCTGGTTGCTTCATCCGTGTTCTGGGCTTTGACAACGTGAAGCAGGTCCAGTGCATGTCCTTCATTGTGCACAAGCCCTAAACGGCCTCAATTATTTGTCGACGTAGCTTATTAATATAAATACTTTCCCAATATATTTCAAATGATCCTTCGCATCTCGAAAGAACGGAAATGGGAAATCATGGACGGCAAGAACAATAATCGACACAACGCTAGTGTGCTATCGTTGGTACTTCGCCAGTGCTCTTGTAACTATGCTATCGTTGCATATTTAGCTGCAAAGTGGGCTGAGTGAGCTGTAAGCTACCGTGAAGATCTTAGTCTAGAATCGCTCCAGCGCAAACTGAGAGTGTGGCTTTGCACGTACCTTTAACTGAGGACGTGCATGTTTACCTCCGTGCCGTGTGGTTTGCTGATACGGTATGTTGCTATCTGGGCCCAGTTCGGCAGGCATTATGGCGATTATCGCCATTATGGACATTTTTAAAACCCGAGTACAGCATGGTATTTTTCAAGTTCAAGATTCTTGAACTTGAAGTCGCTAAAAACAGGGTTACCCTCTTCTGTTTGAAAGAACTCTCGCGACCCAGGGGAAACGTCTTGCGACGGTCATTCCTGATTGGTTCCTGTGCCCAGTCGCACAACAGATGCGAGCATCGCCCACCAGCTTGCCGTGGTCACCTCTCACATAACTTGACGACTGTTACGAGTGCAATTGAGTGGACGAACGAGAATTGCACTATCGCAGCAAAGAATACAATGAGCGAAGGTATGGGCGAAGAATATATAGCGAAACTACAGTGGTAACGGTAATGGACTGTGGTTGTCGCGCGACGGGCCTGGGACTGAGGTTGGGAAAAAGTGTCGAAGCGGAGGCCCGGAGCGCGGGTTACCCGCCGAGTCGTGAGGTCGGGGTGCGATGTGCGAAAGTGGCGGGTAGATTGTCGATGCGAGGGTTGCGAGTGGTAACGGTGCTGACTGTGGTGCTACAGTGACGTACGCGTTGAGCAGGGATGCGAAGTAAGGAAAAGGAATTTTCTTTACACTACCCCCCCCCCTAAGGAGGTCATCCTTACGAGAGTGCGTGTATATCCCTGAAATTTCGGCTGTGCAGATACTCGGTGAGGACGGGGTGGTTTTCGATTCTGTCCAGGGAACCCAATTGTCTTCGGTGGGTGTGCGGTCCTTCCAGCGGAGTAAGAACTCGATCCTTCGGGCTCCTCGAGGGTCGCGAACTCTGTGACTCAGGATTTTCTCGGGGGTGATGATTGGTTCAGTTGGTGGCCTTGTCATGCTGGCTGGGCGATTGCGTGGCAGATGGCTCGTGGACGGGACGTAAGGGCGAAGTAGGCTGACGTGGAACGAGGGGCTGACGTACCAGTCGGCAGGGAGGAGGAGGTGGGCGGTGACAGGTGTAAGCATGTGGCTTATGCGAAATGGCCCGCAGTATCGGGTGCGGAGTTTCGGGGTGATGGGCAGTCGGAGATTTTGGGTGTCGAGCAAAACTAAGTCGTCGGGCTGGTAAGTGACAGGTCTGCGGTGGCGGTCGGCGTTGCGTTTAGCGATGATGTTGGCTTTTTTAATTGCGTCTGCTGCCCTGGTCCTTGCTGCTTGCAAAATTTCGGCGAACTGTTGCGCGCGTGGAACCGGGTTGTCGGGATTCGGGGTCATGGGTACTGTTGGGTCTTGTCCGTAATTCAGGTAAAACGGTGACTGTTGGGTCGTGGCGGATGGGGCGTTGTTGTATGCGAATTCGATGAGTGGCAGTTGCTGTTCCCACGTGTTTGGGTCGTCGCACGTGGCCCGGATGAGCTGTTCCATGGTCTGATTTGTCCGTTCTGTCTGTCCGTCTGTTTCGGGGTGGTACGATGAACTAAACTGTAGTCGCGTGCCGAACTGCTGCCACAGGTTCCGCCAGAAGTTGCTGGTGAATTTCGTGTCTCTGTCGCTGATGATTGATGCTGGTATCCCGTGCAGTCGAACGACGGTAGAGATGAAGAGGCGGGCTGTTTCTTCGGCTGTGATTGATTTTTTGCAGGCTGCGAAGTGTGCCATTTTCGTCAGTCGATGGACGACGACCAGGGTCGCGTCATTTCCACTTGCCCCGGCCGGTAACCCCGTGACGAAGTCCATCATCACCTGCTGCCAAGCACGCTCTGGAGGTGGGATTGGCTGCAACTGTCCCGCCGGCCGCTTCCGTGTTGACTTCATGATCTGGCAAGTGGGACACGATGCCACGTGTCGCTGCACGTCGGTCAACATTTCGGGCCAGTAATAATACCGCTGCAGCTGCTGCCGTGTTTTCTCTACCCCGAAATGTCCCGAGGTAACCCCGTCGTGTGCCTCTTGTAATAGTAATTCCCGTAGCAGTGTGTACCCGGGTACCCAGATGCGGTCGGTCCCGGATTTTACGTAATAGACTCCCTTGGCTGCTGCGAACTGCTGCGAATTTCCTCCTGTGAAGAATGGGTCCGTTTGATATCCGTGGGTAAATAGTCCTGTCAGTAGCGGGCTGGTCTGGGCGAGCAGTATCGCGTGGATCTGGGCAGTGGGGCGGGTAAGTGCGTCGGCGATATTCGAGGCTCCTTTTTTATAGGTGACTGTGTAGTGGAAGTTTGACTCGAGGAAATCGAGCCACCGGATCTGTCGTGGGTTGAGGTGGGGCTGTGCGCGGAGGTACTGTAGTGATCGGTGGTCTGTCCGTACTGTCACGTCTGCGC